TCACTTTACTAAACAAGGTATTGCAATTCTAGCTAAGAACATTAAGAGGCTGTCTCTGTAAAATCCGCCTGTTCATATTCGGATTGAAAAATAGTTTGCCTTCATATTTTTGCTGTGAACTACACTTACGTTAGTAGGCTTCAAAACAATTTTCTTCAAAACAAATTTCGACCGCTTATTTTTTTGCCAGTTATAGCCCATCGTAAATATAGGCCCGTGCGTGTTTTTTTGAAACCGGAAATGAAGCGGTTTTAGCAGAAATACACTAAAAAAATTTTCCACAAAACACATACCATCCCGAATTTTTTCTTATTGCAGCATAGATGGACACTCTATCTTTAAATTTCCGAGACATTTCTGACGATGTTTTACGTTTTACCTATTTTTGAAAGCTCCCAAGAGACAACGGTATCAAGGTGGCGGGCAGATATTAAAAATTACTCAAAACTGAAGTGCGATTTTTCCAAAGTGGCACCTATGTGGGTCTAAAGAAGTTGAAATAAATAAAAGGCAATGCTCCTATTCGGTTTTGATAACTGAAAAAAAATTCGTCTGCAAATGAGCCACTGAGAAGAAATAATGCATGTGGCGTTCGGAAATATTCCATAAATTGCTACGATTTGGGGTTTCCCGATTGAAAACCGAAATCAAATTATTTGTGCGATGTCGGGCTATTGCCCATTTTTCAACCGAGCGCGCTAGCCGCTGTTATTTTGACAGAATATGATACCTCTGCACTTTTCAGCCGTAATACATACAATGCGCGGATTGTAATCATATACATATCGTTTAATTTAGCTTCAAAAACTTGATAAAATCAAAATTGCTGTATTTTGTTAAATGTAAAATGCGCAACATGTTGCATACATTATCAAAGAAAAAAAGTTGACTTTATTAGATTGAAATAAGCAAGATTTCCCGTTACATACATGATTTATACCGAGGCGCGGGATGTGCATGTGCTCTGGCAACGATTACACCATTGCGCTCCGGAACCAACACATATAACATGTTTTTTATCAAGTTTTTGAAGCTAAATTATAAACGATATGTATATGATTACAATGCGCGCTGAAAATTAAGGCTGAAAAGTGTAGAAGTATCATATTCCGTCAAAATAACAGCGGCTAGCGCGCTCGGTTGGCAAATAGCCCGACATCGCACAAATCATAGTTTTGGTTTTCAATCGGGAAATCCCAAATCGTAGCAATTTATGGAATATTTCCGAACGCCACATACACATGAAATGTTTGTCTATCTTTAAGGCCCACGAACATATAGGCCTACTAGGAGATAAAATAGCAAAATTTGAGTCTCGAGTTTTAGCCACTTACAGCGTAGAATTTATAGCTCAATAATCCGCAATAAGACAATATGTCAGACATATGCAATCGACATAGTTATTCGCCGACGTTCGCAGTGGTGTAGTGGGGGCTTTCTTGCACATTGCATATTAATCTTAACAACGTAACAACGTCAAAAACACGCACAAAAATATCAGTAAACGAGAACGTTCTTTAGAATCACATCTCATTTTCAGTCATCATTTACACAATAATGATTTTTGTGATCTTTACTTAATCGCGGGGTTCATGCAATCATGCGCTGTAGCAAATTGGCTGTTGAAGTCCAATTGTCCTGTTTTGTCTGTTTTAAACCTTATCCAGGGCCGTAGCAACCAGGGGAGCTGGGGGCTGCAGCCCCCCCCCCCCCAATAATTTGCTGATAATCATTCTTTTTCCAAAATTATGCAAACCTTTATCATTTAAATAATATACTTTAAATAATTTATCATTTAAATAATATACCGGCTACATTATCCATGACAAACTGCAAAGAATGAAGATATTACCCATGCTTTCCTGCAACTTATCCAATATATTGTTAATTAAATACGCCTTCGCCCATTTAGTACTACTCAAATTGTAAATTTCGACATACTAAAACGCTGTTTTCTGACCATCGGAACTGATCAGTCTGTCAAATCTTCCCCCAAAGTCCAGGGAATGGCATTTCAGAGACTCTAAATTTAAACTGAAATTTCCTCGGGCCTTCGGCCCTCGCTTTCAGCCCCCCTCCCAAATTAAAAATGAGCTTAGTCATACGGCACTGCTATCCATACTAGCATTTTCACTTCAGTTTTGTTGATATTATATGCATATGCAGCTGCTATTAAGGAGCTTTCCCGAAGATATTTGAAAATATATGTTACAGTTTATAAATATTAGGCTGTTAGCAATATGGAAAATTTAGACCAGGAATAAAAGTCCCAGCCAGAAAGTTTCATATTTTATGAATCCACTGGGCGAAATTGCTTGGAGGAAGGGAAGTTCACCGCGTCCTATTTTTTCACGGCAATTTTTTTTTCGCTAACCAACCATACCACTGAATGTACAGTAGTTTTCGCTTGAGGTACACCCGACCGGCTTTACATCTTCAAAAAGTAGTACAGAAACCTTGCCAATTCCTTACTTTTCGAGACGCTCAGAATATTTTATATTACTAACGGCAATTGTTTTTAATAAGAATAATGTCGAATGTTTCTCCCACAATTATTAGAATAAACTCCAACAAAATTTAGAATTTCAAAAATATCATATTGTACCCCCCACCCTCCCGCCAATTCAGGACACTTTTGGAGAGCCCCCCTTGTTAACATTCCAGGACTACACTACTGGACGTTCGTGATAGGGACTATAACACTTCCAAAGCTAATAAACCTATATCCTATAACTTAAGACATTTTACTATCATCAAACAATGCATCTATAGATTTATTATAATATTAGACTATACGAAACGGAAACATTTACTTGTTATACTATAGATAACAGCAAAAAACAGCATGTATTTTATTTTATTATACTGAAGACTTGTTGCGTTAAATTTCCTGTATTTATCTAGCGCATAAAAGGAAAAAGTACGAAAAAAATATTAAAAATAAAAATAATATTTTCGTGAAAAAATGCGTTTTTAGCACATTTTATGACCCACGACTTTACCCACGACACGCGACTTTTAACCCACGACACACGACATATAGGGACACTCGTGCTAAGCCACTCTCAAACTCGCACGAAATAAGAAACCGTGAACCCAATGATACAGCAGCTACACCTTTGGTGAAAATTTGTGAACAAAACTTATTACATTCACATCATTTTGACACAACCTATATCATAAGGGCCACTTGTGACGTTATTGAAGCAAGATGACAAAAATAAAATTTAAAATTTTGACTATGGAGTATGGTTTTATCACAAAAGTTTGATGCTGTCTTTTAGATTGTTTTAGGGCCCCCAAACGCAGAGATAGGGGGGGGGGGTGGTGGCATAATCTGCATGGAAGGCTAAATCCACCCGGCGCTTTCCTATACAGTATCTTGCCTATATCATAAAGATGAATGTATAGGTCTTCCAACAAGACCAAGCAAAACAAATCAACAGTTAAAAATTGATATGTATTCTTACCGCTGTTGTTTTCTTTATTTGGAGTTCCAGGTATGATTGGTGGACTGAACATATTGCAGCAATCACGTGGCCATGCATATCGTGGCCGTGAGACCAGGTTCTTGGCCAAAAGGCTGGCAAGAGAGACAAAACAATGTCATTTTCTGCAAACAATATCAATTTTTAACCGCGGGCGTGAATAATCGGCGTGTTGTCGAATTCAGTACAGGTATACATACATGTGTTTCGCTAAGCACTAGTGTACCCAAGCTAAAACAGTGCTAATTCATTAATTATGTGTAGTTGTCTCGTGTTTAACAGAATTAGAAAAATATTTCGTTTAATTTCCTATATCTACCAACACTTCCAACATTGACAGATTGCCTGCTTCCATTTACCAGGTCTTCTCAGAGAATTTCGGGCGCCCGGGGTAAATTTTTAGTATATAAAAAACGTTTTTAATTACACTTTTTGTGATCTCCATTTTTGAAAATTTTGGTGCCCCCTTTAACTGGGGCCCCGGGACAAATTGCCCCCTTTGTCCCCTTCTGCGAGGCCCTGCATTTACCGGTAACGTCGGCGCGTAAAACAAGTTCCTCATTAGTATTTTTAGACAAACCTGATTCTGTAGCTTTATTTCATTTTGATATTTATTTCCTCTCATGTCCTGTGGAGGTGTTCTCTATGTAATAAAATCCTTCGAATATCAGATTCTCCAAAATATTCTTATATTTTTTCATGAACCAAATTTTTTCAGATTTTTACTGAATTAGTATTCACTGTACATCAACGAAAACTGAACTGACTGTGAAATAAATAACGGAAATGAATAATGAAATTGTGTTGCACTTCGAATGATCGTGGTTCCCGCAAATCTCGGCTTCCTAAACTTGGGTTAATAGAGCTCGGTCCATTGTCCGGTCGGCAAAATTTCGCGAGTGGTCCACGAGCGTAGTCCACGGACCAGGTCCACGACGGTAGTCCGCGGACCTGGGGTCCGCGTTTTGTCGTTTCCCACATGGCTTGGTAATCTATGGCGGGTGATGTGTGTCAAAATTCAATGACACATTTGGCAATGATAACATAACATTTTGCTACAATACTAACACATTTGGCAATGAAAAAGTAACTTTTTGCTACAATTTTGAGGTGGTTACAAAATTATTTTGTATATTTTGAGACAATAATAAACCATTTGGCAATAATAAGACTCAATTTTGCAATCACAAAATTATATTTTTTTTAATACGACGATAAAATTCTATTTGTCAAGTATTGCTTCCCATTTGGCAACGATTACAATTTGGCAACGATTACAATTTGGCAACGATTACAAAGTAAAATCAATTTGGCAAAGTCAATCCCATGATGCAGCGCCAGCAGCATTTAAAATGGCGCCAAAATACGGCGCGAAATATTTACGTAATAAAAATAAAATGGCGGATAATCAGCAAGCTTCGTCTGCGGCTGATGAAATTCAGTCATCCCTTCTGCAAGCCAGAGATCTTATTGTTCAAATTATTGATGGAGTTTCCAACTCGCCATCGACAGCTAACACATCGACAGCTAACACATCGACAGCTAACACATCGACAGCTAACACATCGACAGTAAGAACCCCTAACACATCAACAGCTTATTCATCGACAGTAAGAACCTCTCTCTTGAGTGAGCAACAACGCGTTAATACTCCCAATAATACAAATTTACATAATAGAGCGTTGGAAGAGCACCGTCGATTGTTTGGATTTTCTGGACAGTCTATCGTTAGTAGTACTTCACAATCAAACGGGAAAAGAAGTCGTGGAAAAGGGGGGAAGAATGGTAAAAGTGCAAAGAAACCTAAAGTTGCTACTTGGACTCATGCTTTCGTTTGCCTCGCAAAGAGAACCCAAGTACTCTTGCTTACACCTCGAGAAAGGTATGAATTAAAATCTGCAGGACTCGGTGAGAAAAAGATAACCGTTGAGATTAAAGACAAGGGATTTGAAGACTTATATGGTATTCTTTTGCAAGAATTCCCATTGCTGTCTCATGCAGGTGGGATCGAGTTGATGCGGACAGGTTTTGGGGCTAGGAGCAAAACCCTTGAAGTGATTCCTGTACCAACCGGTTCCTCCAGTTACAGCATCGAATACCTAAAAGAGGTACTCCAACAGGCTAAGTGCTATGTTAGACCAATTCAGAAGGATTTACCTGTGGTTATTCCTCGCGACTGCCAGGACAATTTAAATACTTCTACTAAAGAGGTAAGACTGTAGTTTATCTTGGAAAAGCAGGGCCTTTTTAACTATATAACTGGGGTTGATTGGTGGTGGGGGGGGTTGGTGCAAAGACCCTCCAGCAGCCAATACCCCCCCCAAAAAAAATAAATCAAGCATCCTCCCCCCCCCCAGTCAAAGCCCCTCTTCTCTAAAATATGAGCAAAACATTGAAAGAGAAATGGAATTTAGAATGGAGGTTTGATACTCTAGTAACTGAAATTTGCTTTGTGAATCTTATGTCATGTCTTTTATCTTCAAATGATTCAATGTCTTTTTAAAAAATGCTAAACATTGCAGGGCATTCAAAAGGAGGTGCAGCAGGTGGCACAAGGTTTACGGCCGATTACTTTATATATACTTTAACACATTGCGTCTCAACTACATTTATTGAATACAGGTGTCAGCCTCCCCCCCTGGAAGTGGGGAGGGGGTGCAGCCACCCAGCTGTTCAGCTAAACTCAATCTTCTCTCCAAAAACAGACCCAAGAGAAAATCCCTGCATTTACTGTAATATTGTAAATGTAAAAAGTTTTCCTAATTCTTTTGTGATGTGTATTTAGGAATCATCTTGCCCAAGTGAACAGTGCAGGTTGTGTTTGAAGAGTATTCCAATTTTGCAAATGCGGAGGCATATGTGGTCCTGTGAGATTACTGAATCATCATTTTCTGTCGAGGTATTCTTCTATGTATAATTAACCTGAAAAAATTTTTATTTTGAACTTCAGACACTGTATTAATTTTACTAATAGTTATGTCTGTAATAAGTGGAAATATTCTTTCACTTATAGCCAGAAATAATATGTGAATCAGATGAGGAATCCAACTCTATTCCGGAGTCTCTTCCACATTCTGAATCTCCTTCTACAAGTGGAAGTAGCTCTATGGTGTCTTGTATGGTAAGAAACAATTCATTATTTAATTTGTCATTTGTCCACATTTATTCGATTAGTGATTTTAATACCATTTTTATTGAGTAAAACTTTGATTTTTAGGAGCCTGGTATTGACGAATTGAGAAAAATTTTCCCAGATCCTCCAAACCAAGTATTGGTTGAGGCAATGCTAAAAGGTGGAACCGTTCAAGAAGCGATTAATATTTTACTAGATCAAACAACAACTGGTATGTGCATATCTATTGCTGTTGCACAAATATTACTTTATTCTGTCAACCAAACAATGAATCAGTTCTATTTAGTGTCTTCTATTTTTCAGATCATTCAAAGTTTATTCAAGACGAATCCGATCTTGCAGAAATCATGTTTGGATTAAAAGAGGATTTACCCATTGATGGAATTCAAAAGTTCAGTATAGACCGTCAAGAGCTCTGGGAAGATAGCATAGCAGCATTCAAAAACCCCAAATTCAAAGATTCATTTCGACCACGTGTAAGATTTCTTGGTGAAGCTGGAGTAGATGCTGGCGGTCTCTCTCGAGAATATGGACTTATTCTGCGTAAAGAAATATTCTCATCTAATGCCAACCTATTTGAAGGAAAGCAAACCAGAAAATTGCCAATATACAACATCAATGGCATTCAGTCAAATCTATACTATCTGGCTGGAAAGATGGTGGCTTATCTCATTATTCATTTGGATATTGGCATCCCAATGTTAAGTCCAGCATTCTATTATTATCTTGTTTCCAAAGATATTGAAAAAGCATCAGAATACTGCTGCATTGAGGATGTACCAGATCATGAGACAAAAGAATGGATTAATCAGGTAAAAATAGTCAGACACTTTTACTGCACAGTAATGAGTAACTTCACTGCGCCTTATCCCTGGTATACTTAGTATAAGGTGATCATGCGGTGGCGTGTATGGAAATTTTGCGAAATTGGAGGAGCGGCTGGGGTGAGTCCAATTTCGCAAAATTTCCAAACATCACGAGTACTATTAATCCCTCTTTCTACGAGCAACATTGCATGATTACTTATTTATTATTAGCATCACAAAATTGGATAATTCTCAATGTCATCACATTCTCTCGCCAAAGCCCAGTCCTGGCAGACTTCCAACCACAATTTGGTTCTTGTGTTCGTATTTTCATTTAGTTCTGTTGCTTTAAGTTCCTCTAGCAATGTCATGTGTGTTTAAATACCTTTCCGCCATTTTGTTTGTTTTGGGAAAATCATTAATTGTACTGCAGTACAATTAATGAAATAATTGTACTCCTCTCAACCAATCAGCGTCCAGTAATTTTGTCATGCTGATAATAAGTACACACTCAATAAGATATTTTAGCTAATGTTAATTGAAAGTCGTAAGCACAGTTCTGTTTATAAGTACTTATGAAGACTTGCATTTTTAAATTTAGGTGAATGAAGCAAAGACCAACCAGGAAATACTTGAGCTAGTTCAGAGTCATGACATGATTGATTCATTGCTAAGATCAGGATGGGTTAATTCAGTTACCTTATCAAATAGAGATATTGCCTTGCAGAATTTAATCGTTCATGAGGTTTTGGTAAAACGAAAGGAAGCTTTAGATCAATTTTGCAAGGGTTTAAAAGCACTTGGTGTTCATTCTGCCATTCAGACATGTCCAGAAGAAATGAAAGTATATTTTATTGCCCAGCAGAGCCAACTTTCAGCTACAACAGTGCTAGAGCTGTTTGCTAACATTGATGCTGTTCAAGAATGTGATATGTGTGAAAAAGCCCGAGGTTTTTTGATTGACTGCATTCACTTTTTGGAAACAGGTACTGGCCTTAAGTTATTTTTAAAACTTGCATGTATCAAATGAGCAATCCAATTTTCAAGCAAACGAATAACTGACTCTGTCAGTGAAACTCTGGAACGTTATTTATTTGGAATTTTACATCGGTCATATGTAAGAAGCTATTAAAAAAAATTAGATATGTTATTAAAGTAATAAATATTTTATTCTATATTTTACTGCTTACATTTCAGATGAAGGTGAAGCTGGTCTTAAAAAGTTTTTGTGCTATATGACATGTGCTGAAGAAATCCCACCTCTTGGAATGCCTCAGAAAGTTGAAGTTGTCTATGTTAATCAGTCAAATTTCTTTGCAGAAACATGCATGTATGAGTTAAAAGTTCCAAAAACTCATGAATCTCTTGACAATTTCAAAGATTCATTCATGCAAGCTTGTGCTCACAACAAAGGCTTTGGGGCAGTTTGAGGACAATAAAGAAATTCATAAGAGAAGAAAGAAATTCAAAAACTCATAAATTATTCATATTTTGTTCATTTTTGATCCAAAAAAACTTGGATGTTGAACTAGTAACTGCTCAGTAATTTCATTACAGTTCATGTCATATTACCTTAATATTTTGGGTTAAAATTGTTATTGCGTAGCATTCTAGGAATTTACTACACTTGTGATAAAAACTGCAATACTCTCATATATATCTCAATTCCATAATTTGAACCTGGTTCATGTGGACTTATCTGGGATTGAAGCTGATGAAACTGTTCTTGTGTTAATGGTAGATCCACACTTGGAACTTCAATAGTGTTTCCCTCATAATCTGTACCATTGCACAAATTTGTTGGAAGTGGACCATCCCAATCTATTCCAAATACTTAAGCTTCATTCTTAAAAAAAAAACAATTGTCTTTTTTTGATGGTTTTCTCTTTTACAACTTTGAACTATACAGTATGTACTTAAAATAAATGGAACTTGCTTTGAGAATTTTGAAATGATGCTTGAATTATGAAAACTGCTTTAATTAATTATGTATAATACACAATTTAAAATATATGCATAAAAACTTCTCAAGAATTACCTCGGTTAACTCCTCAAACACTGATCCTTTTTGGGATGAGCCCATTTG